GGTTGCAGATAAATTTATTTATATAAATTTCGAATATCAAATAAATTTATCCGATATTTTTCATGCGTTGTGTTGTTCTGACACATTCGTAGTACATAAACGAAACATCGGCTGTTGTATTGGCAGCCAGCTATTCATCGCAGGAATGAGATTTTTGTTTTGTTCATTTACCGATATTTGTGAACAAGTCTGCCACTGTGTCACTACATAGCATATATAGTCCAAAAGAAATGTGCAGAGACGAAAATGTTCGCCATTTAGTTTTACATTGCCAATACATTAGTTATGGAGATTTTTGTTTTGTTTTTTTTTGTTGTTTGTAAACAAATCTGCCTATCTTTTTGCATTGTCTCTACATACTTATACATATACTATGTACAGTGGCAATGTAAAAAGATATGCAGATTTGTTAACAAACAACAAAAAATAAACAAAACAAAAATCTCCATAACTAATGTATTGGCAATGTAAAATTAAATGGCGAACATTTTCGTCTCTGCACATTTCTTATTGACTTAGTTGTACTAAATTGCCTAAAATCATTTTAGTACATTTTTACTACTGTTTTAGTACTTTTAGAGTACTTGGCCTGCAAAGCTCTTGAGCAGTACTAAAAAGTTTTCGATCAGTTGAGTAGTTATAGGAATTCAAAAAATGCTCAGAAATGTTGTTTGGTAGCCAAATTGATTTTCAGCCAATAAAGTGGACTGGATGTGGTTTTTTCGAGTTCATGTGTTCTAGAGAGTTGTTTAATTTTTCTCTGGCTATAATTTGGACAAAGAAAAAGAGTGAAAAAAATGACTGAACAATCTTAAGAATTGAAAATAAAGCGAAGTCAAGCCGAAACATACTAATTTTGATGATTTTATTGATTTTTTCACTATTCTGTACAGATCTAGCTACATAAAATTTCTGGCAGCACTTCCCGTTATGCTAGCCGCTCCAAAATTTTGACACGGTCTTTTTACATCAATTCTCACAATCCAAGCATGTGTCTCTATCGAAATTCGAATATAGTGTACACTTTGGCCCACCCTAATGCTCTGTCGATATATTGGTATAAAGGTGTCCGCTGGAAATTTTAAGGTCATCGGAAAACCTATTCGAATTGCATGTACTGGTTTCAATTTCTAGACGTTATTGTAAAAACAAATGTCTACGTTTATGTCCAAAAAAATTGTCAGTCATGATTTTTTTTCGACATAAATTTCTTGTACACTGTATAGCATAAAGTACATAGCCGTTTCGCGAGTTTAAATTGATTTGTTTAATTTGTGTATCGTTCGATCTATTCCACTATTGCGCTCAATGGATTGAAGTCAATAACAAAGAATTTTTTTCTTTGTGAAACTGAAGAAATAAACATGAAATGAAATAGGTAGCAGTTAGAAATAATAAATGCCTGTTGGCTATGCGTGATCTCAAAATGACCTTCACAGTGTGACTGTCACTGTGTTGCTCAATGCAGACATAGTTTGGAATTTACAGATATACCCCCGATTTGTTACCAGAAGAAGAAATGGTCGTTTTGTTTGTATGAATTAAAGTGTACACGATTGAATGTACTTAAGATTTGAAACATTTTTTATCCATACTAAGCGACAGAAATAAACAAAAAAAACTCACACAGTAAAAGTGGTTGACTCATATTTTATAATACCGTAATGAAGAGAGAGAGAGAGAGAGAGAGAGAGAGAGAGAGAGTAAAAGCTTCTTTCAATACGTGTCAAGTTCAAAGCCGAATCACATTTTTTTCATTTCAGTATTTCGAACGCCACATTTGCAAACCAAACGAATGTAAATGGCAAAGGGAATTTCATCGATCGATCGGTAGATAGGTATATTGGTGGAATGATTGATTTATGTTTTTTTTACTTCTGCGATGAAATTGATTCAACGTGACTCGTCAATGAATCAAAACTAATGTGATGTCATATTTGATCTTTTTTTTGTTCGCACTGAAATTCGCCAAAGATTCATTGGAATGTTATCAGCCACGCGCTGAGTAATACCGTTGGTGTTGCTGTTACATCACCAGACTTTGCATTTATCGCAATTTTACATCACATTTTATTTGATGGGTTGGTTTTTTTTCTAAACAAATATAGTATGCAGCGTACGAATTGAGTGTTTCCCAATATTTCGCAACCAATCCGGTGAAAATTTTGCGTGAAAGATAAAAGAGTTTCAGATCATACACATTTCTACTTGTTACTGTCAGTCTATCCACTTGCGGCTGCTTGCAGCAATATAGAGCAAAATACATAATAACATGCTATTTATTATATACATATGTGAATGTGAATAAAACATATCTAAAGCTTGCATGCACAGCCCATCATCTCGGATTGGATCGAAAAGTTCGCGAGAATAACGTGCCATATAAACTAAATATTTTTTTACGAGATTTCGTAATCTCTGCCAACGCACGTGATCTATATAATTTTATTATTACAGTAAATTTGAATTGATAGTTCCTAATTCGCGCATCATATCTCATTCAATTTGCATTCAAAGCATCGCAAGCAAAGTGGCGACAAGATACTACGTATAAACATCATAAATTGGTATATATAATATATGTTGCAAAATTATTCGAGAAATGAAATATATATTATTTTGACTGTGTTAACGGAACAAACGTGTTATTAGGTAATTTTTTTTCAATTATATGTATACAAGAAGAGGTAATGAAAATAAAAACAAACTTTGTCTGTCGGCGCACTAACTGACTATCTACCGTCAAAGTTAAATCGCATTCACAGCTTCCACTAAAATTATAAGCTTTTAAAAGCAAATTGAATTACTAGCATACACTTAATCGTGATATGAATAGTGTTCGCGGGTTCGACCAATGCAGTCTCTCTTCATTTGTCTCGCACCATAAATTTGAATAACATCTTTCACATACACTACCGTGCAAAAGTTTGGAACCACTAGGTATTTTTCATACAAATTGACCATTTTTGGTGGACTCATTAACATATTTCGGAAACACCTGCACTCTTGATATTTTGTGCATAGTTTCTACAACGTTTCAATAGTAAATCACAGAGGTTTCATCAAAAAATATTCATGATACTTTTGCACGGTAGTGTACATAGCAATGAATTGTTCAGCGTAAGCTATTCATGGTTTTCAACATGAAAAAAAAGACGGTGATAATCATCATCGCCATTATCATCATCAAATGTATGTCTAACATAATCTATAACACGCAGAAAAAAAGCCAGCATTTCTTGTCTTTATTCTCTGTAATTCAACGTATGAACGAATAATAAAATCTGCATATTACATGTTTTTCGATTTAACTGTGCTGATTTCTATTTTTGGCATGCATCATACAAGAATTCTATTGGCTGAAGAAATTGAAAATTCCTTTATTGTATAGAAAAAGTAAAGTTATTCCAATATTTATATTCCTGTTTTTTAAGCAAATTTATCGCTCTTCAGACATTTCTAGTAATTATAGTCACTTTCTCATTCAAGAATCACATGTATGTGTTCATTTATCTTTCTCGCTTCCTCATTCGGCGTTCATTGTCTGTGGTACACGTTGATATTGTAAAATGATGTAACAATAATATCGCTGTTAATTTCGTTAAAATGAACACTACGTACATCAAGCAGACAAGCACGTATAAACCCACTTTATACACACAAACATAAACACGTACATACACATAAAAACATACGTCGGATCGAACGAACGAATGAATGAATGTGTATGTAATGCGAATGCATTTACACTATTATGCAATCGAAATAAAGAAGTGAAAGATTTTTCTGTGCCATGCAGAAGCGACGCATATAGCGGTTTTAACTTGATAAATAAATACAGAAGAATTTCCGAAAGAGAAATGGTTGAATAAGAAAAAAACAACAGAAAAAATTCACAGAAATCTCGCATTGAAATTTCCAATAAAAAATGAAGTGAGAAAAGTTTATAAAACATTCAATACATTGCATAAATATGCGATAAGCTTCTCGTTGTCTTTTCTCAGCTGATAGCTAGAAAAGTGAATCTGTTTTGGTGTTTTAGAAATTCACATTGAGTGAGTAGAGTTGAACGCGCGAATGCGCTTCGAACCTCGTTTTCATTGTTTGATATACATGCATACCTACATACACGTATGCATATATACGTATTATATACTTTTCTTAGCCAATTAGTTGTTCACTATTCAATAGAATAATAGTGTACTGCACATATTGGATTGCAACGTAACCAAAGCATTTATTTCTTCGTACACTGCACAGAGAATAGTTAATTCTAGTTATGGTAATACATGACAATTTGAATCAAGCTCCTCTCTGTCCAAAAGAAGGCTGAATAAATCTACAAGAAACATGTGTATACATGTATGCTCATTGAAAAGTCATTGGCAAAATCGAACAAAATTTAATAATGGTTCCTTTCACGAAACATGTACTACTCTTGTTCCCGTTAGTTTGCATCATTTGTGAAGAACGTCGCTTGTAAGCCGCTCGCAGACAAACAAACAATGAAAAAAAACGTCAGCCAAAAATAAAAAAGAGATTAAAAATTAAGTTTTAATGGCAATGCACGCTATATTACAGCATTCGATTTTATTTGAATTACATTCGTCACTGCAATATCGCTTTGGACTTTTATTTTCATTTTTTCTTCTTCTTTCAACAGTGTGTACAGTACATGTTGCGCTGCATTCGCCGCTTTGTTATGCTCTCTGACTACATGCGGCGGCAGTAGCAAAAGACGCTCACTTTCGTGGCTGTGTGCTCAAGATGCAGTATATACGTTCAGTCTACTTCGACTATAATGAGCCGAGCTTTTATGTTTTTTGTTGGCTTGGATTGGTGTTCCTTCAATGTATGCACAGATTGTTTCGCTTCAAATTTCATGTCGTTGCCTCTATGATACAACGTATTTTATACGAATGAAATGTAAACATCAGGGGGGAAAGTAAATCATATTGTTATTGCCAATTTTTGGTGTTTGTAAAAACATATAAAAGGTGGTGACAGAGAAAAAATCGTTACCAGTATCTCAATTGAGCTCGATTTAGTCGGTTCGGGCAATTTTTCGGAAAGAATCAACACAGTCATTTTCTAGGCCACGGATTTGGGATCGCACAGCATGAAGTCTATGGTACGGATTGGTTGTTTTTTTGAAGTTGAATTTAGTGCTCAACGTCAAGCGTTAAAGTTACATTTTTGGGTGAAAATATACGAATTGCATTTTTATAAAATAAAAAAAATTTCATGTATGAATATAACTGATATAATTGAATCGCAAGAGTGATTCGAGTGTAGTGGACTGAGTGATTAAATTGATCGAACGGATGAAATGTTGTGACTTGATCGATGATTTCAATAAAGTGTTTGATCTCTCTGAAATTGTGGTCATTTGTTATTGTCTACTGAAAGCCTATGCATACATATGTAAATTTACTTCAGCGCACATTTCTATTTTAATTTACATAGTTTTGTTTGAAATCGAAAGTCATCGGTCTCAAATAACAACCTTCTATCATTTCGTTTTTTGCTCTTTTATGAATTATCTATTTTTGTTCGTTTTGTGGATTAGTGTTTATGTAATATTATCACAATAGACAATAATTCGAAGTGAATAACGGAGCCAGAAAAAATTAATACGACGAAACTGATACCTGTTACTTTGTGTAATCAAATGAAAATATTTTCAACAGAGTGTGGTCTTTTTGAAACAGTTTTCCTAAGTTGTGTACAGTTGAACGTGCTAACATTTATTTTACTTTTAGATTGTTTTGGCAGGGATTTCCCTGTGCTTGGTTTCGAGCGTTTTGTGTGAAAAACAGGGAGCTGCTGAAAAAGCAGACAACGCCGAAAAAAAGCATGATAAGCGCGGAATTTTCGAAGAAGGTTATGGAGATTTCGGCGGTTATGAAGAAGACCATCATCACTTGCACCATCATCATGAAAAAACCATCTACGATGTAAAAAAGGTAAATGTCGCGGCTTAAATCACAATCAGTGTTCATTTCTAGACCGTTCTTTTTTTGTTTTCTTCTTCATTAAAAAATACCACAAAATTATAATTTTTTTAAATAACTTTTCCAATTGTTCCCTGTGCCTCCATTTTTGTCTGTATTAGGTGCCAGTTCCCGTACCGCATTACCACACGGTACATGTCCCACATGTGAAAACTATTAAGTATCCAGGTAATTGTTATGCATTTTTATTATTGACACCGCCGAGTACTGGCTGAATATGTTTGCTTTGCAGGAAAAATGAATCCATTTTGGACTTATGAAAAAAACAATATTTTTTATGCTTATACAATTTTGAGTATAAAAATAGTGTAGTTTAGATAAATGACGCTTCTCGATCCATACAATTTTAACAAATAATGACGTCATATTTTAATTTTTTTTTTCGTTTTAGTCAAAGTTGGTGTTCCTCATCCGTATCCAAGTAATTATTCTTTTTTTATATGTGCATTTAATTCTTGTGAATGCATAATGAATAATATTCATTTTTCGAGGGAACTCTTTATGAAAATGTTGTTCTTGAATGAAATTGGATTTAATTGGATAATAAAAATGTGAATTCATTTCAGTCGTAAAGCATACCTCGTACCCAGTGAAAGAGATCGTCAAAGTGCCCGAGCACATCCCCGCTCCCTACCCAGTCGAAAAGACGGTAATATACGGATTTATTATATAAAGAAATCGGCTTTGTTTGAAACGCAAAATCATATAGCCACAATGGACAGGAAAATAAATGTATTTTGGCTCTTACAGAAATATATAGTCAAATAAATTGTTGAATATTATAAGCAAAAAGCCAAAAATTTGGTAAGAGAATGAACTTTTTAGAGAAGAAATTTTTCTAAGCAATTGTTTGATCGTTTGTTGGTAATTGAGACTATATGACCACATTAAAATATATACTATAATTTTTCCAATTCAAGTTGTATAATGCTTTAACTTTCTGATATCTTCAATTGAATTGAAATACGCATTTGAACGTCTTATTCGTCAAAATTGTTCCACAATATCCAGAGCAGAAATACTTGACTTGAAGGAAAAATATACGTTGACTGTAATTGCAATGAATATAATATAATCCAAAGTAACATTTCAAAGTAGTTTCATAATTGGAAAACGAGTTTCAAAGAATTCGGAACGCTTTAAGCTAAAATGAAAATATTCAGAAAAAAATTTCTTTCTTCCTAGGTCCATACTATATAGCATATGTAAATGTTTACCTTCTACAAATATACGGTTAAATTACCATTATTTGGTCAGCTGACTCAACAATTATCAAAATTTTAGACAAAAAAGTTTAAATGAGAGAAAAATCTGAAAAATGCATCTCAGCGGTCGAGTTTATTCTTTATTTTAAAGAATACAACTCCCCCCCAATTTCAACCTATTTTAACTGACAAAACTACACCAATTTTCCAATCAAATCGATTTTCTGACCATTTTGAATATACATTTTGACATGTGGGATTTATGGACAAATGAATAATCTGTATTATTTTTTTCTAGGTTCATTATCCAGTTCATGTACCAGGTAAATAAGCCGTTTTAGTATATTTAAAATTATGCAAAACAATTCATTATATTAACATAGTCCGACGGCACAAGAGCCGGACTAGTACCACACGATATTTTAGCTCTGCGTTCAGAATGAGCCATAAGAGTTGAGATTTCCTTACAAATAGGTAATTTTGTGATTTTTGTCCAATTTTTCGAAGTCTTGAAGACAATACCTAGTTTTGCTCATATTCGTTGGGTCTAAAATCGCGAGATAAATAATTCCCAAATTGTCATAGACTTGAAAAAAACGAAAAATACATAAAAAATTGATTTTCATCAAGAAATTCGGTGTTGCTGAGATGTCAAAACGGTGAAGGTAAAAACTATTTACCAATGAGCACAGAATGCTACTTATTCTCAATTCTGGGTGACCTAGAATATTGCATGGTACTAGTCCAGCTCCTGTGCCAGAGAAAGAAAACACGTCTTGGACTGTGTGATTGGCAAAAAAAAATTACAAAAGACAATAACGATCGATCTCTTTTATTTTAGTTGATCGTCCAGTGCCAGTTAAAGTTTACGTGCCCCAACCATACCCCGTTACCAAGGAAGTGCATGTTCCCGTAAAAATTGGCGTGCCAGCACCGTATGTCATTTTCATTTGGGAGTGTGAATATATTTTTTCGCTTTTTTTTTCAAAAAAAAAACTCATTTAATTCAATAACAAAATGAAAGTATAAACTAATGAAAGTGTTGTAAATCGGAAGCTTTATCTTTTGTCCGAATTTCAGGCAAATTACAGGGAAAATTTCGAGAAAAAAACGGTTTTTGACCCTATGAACGGATCGTATCATTTTTCGAGTTGTTGAAAAACGGGCAGCTGCAACGTTGCGCTTCAAACACAAAAAGCGCCATCTGCACATATTTGACTATTCAATGTAAACTAGCTGTCATCAGTATCTTTGAGTCATCGATGCTCAATTTTGGGTCGTAAACGGTACATTGAAAATTGCAAATGCGCCGTTTATGACCCAAAATTGAGCATCGATGACTCATCGATACTGATGACAGCTAGTTCACTTTGAATAGTCAAATATGTGCAGATGGCGCTGTAAAATCGTTCACCACTGACAAACGTCAAATTAGTATGGAAAGATGTCAATGTTGCAGCCTCCCGTTGAAAAAAAGAGCGAACCGTTCTCCACTTGGGTGATTTTGAATCGTGTGAAACAAGTCGTAATCAAAGGGCACAATGTTTGTAGAATACAGCGAGTGCATAGCGGGTATTCATATACAACTGCTTCTTTGGCCATTATGCAATCAGTGAATTACACACACAAATATATACTAGAAATTGAGGTCAAATGATTTTTTTTCTCAATTCGCACCCAAAGTTTTTTTGCGATTAGGGAAAACATTTTTTTGACATGTTGGAAAATTCTTCTTTCCCTATTAGTGAGGTCCTCAATTTCTAATATATATTTGTGTGTGTGTGTATGCAAATGTTTCCGTTCTGCTGTTAGAAATTGTTATACAACGATTGGTTACCGCCGCGGCTATGAAATCCATACTGAAGACAACATTCGACCTGCCTCTCGTGGTCATATACACAACACACGTTGAGCGGTCAATATATATACACAATACAGACACGCTAGCATAGGATTTACACGGTTTGCGCGAATGGCTACTTGATTATCGGCCATGCATACGCTTATGTGATTGAAATCTTCAACTATCACCACAAGCGTCGTGTCAGTAGAGCTCGTCTTATATTTACATTGGAAATACGTGTTATTGTTGTTGTAGCTTCATCGCCGTGGTTACCATGCATATACGGCAAATCCATGGTCCCAAATATCGCTTTGACATTTACATGTATTCTGATATTGAGCAACTGCCAACGCCATCTGTTAGTGTAACGAAGCATAACGAAGAAATTGTTGTATTCTATGAACGCTTTGCGCAGCCTTACTCTTTGTATCGCTGTGACAGAAGTGCGCGAAGCGCTCAGATGTTCAACGTCACGCTAACAGATGGCGTTATATGTTCAATATTGATTCATTATTTGAGACATGGATGAATCACACATTTTCAATTCACTGATTGCGGTGCCCTCTACAGGTGGGCGGACTAAGAGAGTATAATTCATACTCTCATACTCACTCCCATACAAACGGAAAATGAGTATGTCTCGACATACTCCGAGGGGGAAATCACTCTTTGAATTACTTTTCAATTACTTTTTCTATTACTTTTTGGCACGATATTACTTTAGTAAATTACGAAAGTAATTAGACGTTTATGTGAAAGTTTGACATTGTCAAACCAACAAACAAACGTTTTAAACAAACCACTATACTCATATCGAAAAATGGAATTTGAAATGGAAAACAAGAATACTTCGGGTATGTGGTTTATGCCGAACAGACATAACCAAACTATTGTTGCCATCTACCTCAATTAATTTTTTTCGAGAAAAATTACTTTTCTATTATCATAATTACTTGTGACATTTCAATTACTTTTAAGTGATTTCCCACTCGACATTCCCCCTCTTTGAGTAAGAGAGTATATACTCAGAGTATATACTCTTTGATTTTGAGTATGTCTCGATATACTCATGTTTTTCCGAAAGAGTAACTCTACACCTACTCCGACCAATAGTTCAAAAAAAAAATAATTCACACGCCCAATAAATAAACTTTTATATCACAATCGTTGTTCATGTAAATCAATAACCATTATTTGTATTGAATCCAATAGATACCCAGTCGAGAAAAAAATCCACGTCCCAGTTAAAGAATATATCCCAGTCGATAGACCGTACCCAGTTGAAAAGGTTTTCCACATATCATATTATATTAAACTCAATGTTCTTGTGAATAACGTTTATTTGTATAAATTATTTGTAGGTTGTGCATTACCCAGTAAAAGAATATTTCGATCATCCTATCCCAGGTATGTATCAAAGCTTAAGTATGGTAACGTTCTTATGAATAGGCCATCTTAATGAGTGAACTCGCTTTGATTGATTTTCATGAAGTCAAAGTCGAATAGCGACCCCCAATAGTGCCAACCAGAGATTAATAAAAAAAATTAAAAGAAAGTTATTTTCGCCAAATCCCAAAAACAACATTCCCCCAAATAGACCTAAAAAATTTCTAAGCTTATGCTAATTAAATTTTTTTTATGCAATCTAGTTCCAGTGGAAAAGCCGGTTCCAGTCCATGGTTCGTAGTATTTTCGCATAAATGGCTCACAGACAAGCACATATTAAGATTGCTCGGACTAACAATAGCCATGATTTTGGAGTTTTGAATTTGAGATGGAGTCTCAATCATATATATTTCCAAAACGAAAAAACTTTAAATTTTGCATTTGTTGTTATCCAATCATTTATCTAATCATTTATCCAAATTTTTTTATAGTTGAAAAGAAGGTTCCAGTAACTGTGATTAGGAAGGTAAACCCAAGCAAATAATAAAATCTAATTCAATCATTTAATTCAATGTACTTTGATTTATATTTCCAGACAACGTACCCAGTTCATATCCCAGGTTTGAATTGTCAATTATATTCAATAATTTCATAGCTTTCACTCCGAGAAAAAAGTCTAATTTTGCTTAATAGCAGTTATTTTCATTCTAATAATAAACTTTATTCATTCAGCTAACAACTGACTGGACTTTCAATCACTAAGTTTGCTTTCATGTTTAGCATGCAATAAAAATGCGTTGGAATGTGAACATAGTAATTGAACGGCCAGACCGAGTAAAATGAAATCAAATTTATCAAATTTCCTCAATTCTTTTTTCCGGGATAGTCGATAAACCGTACCCTGTTCCCGTTGATCACCCAGTTCCATGTAAGTTAAAGACGTTCAATGTTCATCTAAAACTTCATTCTGAGTAATGTGATGACAATCAAGCATTATTTTGCACTCTGTTTTGTTACTGCTTTTAGTAGTTCATGATTTAAATGTCTAATGAAGTTTATAAACATGTGTAATGGCCACAAAACTACCTTAAAACTCAACTAATGAAAACTCCTTAATACTTGGTGTAGCAAAGCTCTTTTCAAGTTCTTCCGTATTACCCAGAATTATTTATTTTACTCACGATACACTATTGCTTCTATACGAAGCAGCAAACTTCAACAAACGAATCTATCTATGGTTCCATTTAATAATTTTCGGTTGTAGAAAATGTTGAAATTTACTTGACTACCAAAAAACGGTAACCAAGTGTCGAAGTTCCTGCATCTAAGCATCTGACAGCTCACTTCTAGCGCTACGTGACAAGTGTCAAAAGTTGTGACTCAGATCGTTCAATGTTTACCGCAAACTATTGAATCTTTTTTATATTTGTTAATAAAGTAGACACAAAGAATAAAAATGTCACGAATGTGCAAAATTGATTTTTGTGAGAGCGTAGCACGTGATAAACATCAATTTTATAAAAAAAAATGTTTTTTTTTCATTACGGAACATTGTTGATGCGTTCAATTTGTCGCGTTCATGAGTGCGTCTAACGACGTAAACGAATTGAAATGAACTTCACTGAATGCGCTCATCGCAAATTCGCGTTTTATTTTGTTTTGTTAGGGTTATGCAGAGCCTGTGCCAAGTGTTAAAATGTTGTATGTTCTCAAGACATTTCAGATGTTCAGTTTTCGTACGCATTTGTTGAGACCTTTACTCAGAATTAGGAATAGAGTGTAATTTTCTTATCAAATGTCGGAGTAAACTTCGTTAAGAGAATCGAAAACCAATGGGTAAATCTCAATCTGTCTTAAAACAGCTGCCTCAATAAACGCCAAATTAACATAATAAGTCCGTGGTATATTTTTGTAAATTTCATTGGACGTTTTATAAAAACAAGCCATCCCAATTTTTCCAACTCTCAGAAGTGAATTTGCGTATATTTGTTTGAATATTTCGTAGTTAGTTAGAGCTACTAAACGGATTGCTTTTTTTTTTCAATCTGAGTGCTTCTCTTTTGTAATCAATTCTTTTCTATGTACCTGCCTATGTACCAGATACTGTGAAAGTGCCTCATGAAGTCCCCGTCCCAGTTGAAAAGGTAATATAAAAAAAGATGTGAATCGCAATTTTATGATTTCACTGACTTCACAGAATTTTTGAAAATGAATATTATTCTAACGGTTTCTATAACAGACGGTCCACGTTCCACACGTAAAGCATGTTCCATACCCAGGTAAGCTCAAAAACCGAGACTGTGAAGTGTCTGTGATATAGCGCCTCGTTATTATATGTGCCAATTGTATGCAAACAAAATATACATTAAAGTGCGCTCCATCCACACACACATACAGAGAGAGAGAGAAACTGTGTGAGCGTGCCTGAGTTGCCTGAAGTGAAGCGCACGTCGATTCATATTTTTTTGCGTTCAATAGATGTCTACTATTGGGAAAGGCAGGATAAGGCGGCGCTATGCGGCAGCAAACATACAATCTCTGTAAATATGTTTCCCTCAACTAATTCTGTACTTTTTTCTTTGTCTATGAATTTAGTGAAAGTTGCTGTTCCCGTCCCAAGGCCCATTGAAATTGATGTGCACCATCCGGTACACGTTCATAAACCAATTCATTATACAGAGAAAGAGTTCGTGCCCGTTATAGAGGATCATCAACATCACCACGAACATGACGAACATCATGGATTCGAAGAACATCATGATCACGGGTATTGATGACACGGGAAATCGATCAATTTTCTCTGAATCATACATGCAAATATACTCATATTGTGATATTTCGTTGTTTCCATACACACAAAAAATGAGAACAAATAATAATCTAACATGTGTTTTTAAATCAGAGATAATTTTTGACACCTGAATATCAGAATGTTGAGACGTGCTGCTCAGCTATTCATTCAGTTTTCGAACGTGCATACAACATTTATTACATCTATAATTTATAATATCTTTCAACTTCGATGTTTAGTTATTAAGTGTCGAAAATCAAAATTAAAAGTAAAAAAAATGAAATTCTACCTATAAACATTGTCTTCAATTTGAATTCGCACCCAATTCTATTTCCACTCGGGCCAGACGTTAGTTACTCTTTAAGAAATTATTCTCAATGAGAAAGAAATTATTCTCTTCACGTTTGACTTGGATTTAGCTATTGATTCCCCTCAAGGGACTGTAGATAGTGGCAACATTTTAGCGATATTGGCGCCATTATAGACAATATAAGGCTCGCTTTTGTGAAATAAAACACAATGATGCAAAATAATAATAATACCCTTTTTTTCTCTAAGCCTATTTGAAAAAAAATTGCAAGTAATATTGGGCGTTTGAAAAAATTGACCAACAAAACTTGATAAAAAGTTGCGAATGACTTTTTTTTCGCGTAAGTCTACTTCTACAGAGAGCCCAAAGAAAATTCTGAGCGGTGTTATGTCAATTCTAATGAACTTTCAACTGTTTTTAAATATATACGTTGAATTTACGTTGTCTAATTAAAAACATTATAATGTTATATAAATATACTTTTGAACGTTATGAACTTTTTCAAATGCTTAATATAAATTATAACACTGCTGAATTGCATATTGAAAACATCGAATGTATTCAATACTATTCGGCCAGCACTTGATTCAGTGTTAATGAACAACTAAAATAAAGCTTGAAACTTAATAAGAAATAAAGTGTAAGCTTTTTTTGTATAACTTCGGGAGGTAAGAAATCCTACGTACGGCCAATTCACAAAAGGGTGTTAAAGCGAAAATAACAATTAACTTGTCTTTGCTTTTAAAATGTCTTGATTCCATAATTGCAAACCACCTTAAGTTCCATATGACAAATATCATTGATTACAGCCAAAATGGATTCGTTAAAGAGAAGTCCACAATCACAAATTTGAGCAAATTTACATCACGTACAAGAACTAACATTAACATGGAAAAACAAAACCACACCGATGCTATTTATTTAGTTATAGCTTAGATATTTAATTCAGTCAATATTGAGCTAATCAACCAAAAGCTGAACATTATGGGTTTGAATGGTCAACTACTAAAATGGACTCAATGATATTTGAATGGACGACAGCAAATTATTTTGCGAAATTGGGATTCAAAATGTTACGCGTTTTTGACCCAAAGAGAATCCAAATGTAGACACAAAGTAGGGCAAAGTATAGCTTAAAATTACGTAAAACAGACATCCTCGTTTCAAAATCAATGGTAATTTTACATGTGAAATAACAACAAGAAACGACAAAAGTGACCTCTCGTAGCGGCACAGTTGAAACTAACGAAACAAACACAATTGAACATATCATTTTTATGTTCAGTGTTGGTTCTGTTGTTTACCGTATAGCCGGAGAGAGATGGCTACAGATTAGTGGCATTGAATGACATTCAACACCCATGAAAACAGAGAACTGGACGCAAATGAATCATTTTTAATTTAGAAGAAAAAAGAAAATTTAATGAACGGAGACGAAGGTCCAATTGAAGATGCAATATTTGAACATTTTTTATAACTATTTGTCAGTAGCCATGGAGAAATATGTTTGCAATTCCAAAGGAAAAAATCAAGTCACTTTGAATTTTTGTGTCAAGTGAATTTTGCTTTAAACGTTAGTTTGAATCGTCAGCTCACCGAAGATGAATGCTTATGCTTAGCATTCGAAATGTACATCTGAGCAATTTTGACTCAATAAAGTGTAATATTTGTAGAAAACAAAATAAATGATTCTAAATTAAATTAAATTACACGTAAAAATACTCAAAGTAATCAAGTAATTAAAATTGGGCCTAAATATTGTCCAGAGAGTGCATATTTGCTGCTGAGTAGGCCTGAGCTGCGCTGATTTTGCTGACTCAGGCGCTGAAGCGGTATTTTAAGGCACTTACGGTACAAAATTGTCATTGCTAGCTGGGGTCCACGTTGTTTATCAATTATATTAGGGTGGACCTCAGCTAGCAATGCCACTTTTGTACCGTAAGTGCATTAAAATATCGCTTCAGGTGCTTGAGTCAGCAAATTCAGCTCAGCTCAGGCCCACTCAGCAGTAAATATGCACTCTCTGATATTGTCCTTCAATTTGATTCTGACCATGAGTGTAAGCCTTGTGCCTATGAATTTTCACATAATTTGGCCCGAACATTCGGGACAAACCGACGCAGCCGGGGCAAACTGACGCACCCTTTTTTCAACCCGTACTTAAAGTCAATTATCCAAGAAAATAAGGCACCAAATATGATTTTTTATTGGTTAATCATCCTTTTTCTTTGAAATGACAAAACAAATCAAATCTTTTCCAAGATACATGAAAATATTGAGAGAAAAAATTAGAAAGATGAGATGTCTCGAGAAAAAACAATTTTTCTTCTGAAAATTCGTTTTTATATCATTTTTCAAGCTTCAGCGATTGTGTGTGAATTAAAATAAAAGTTTTAACCATCCAAATATGGAGGATAAAATTACGAAACTTTCAATAGATCACACTTGACATATAGTGTCGGCGTTTTCGAGAAAAGTCGACTGCGTCGAATAGCCCCACCCCTATATAGTCAAACTGAATAGAGTTATGCGTTAATTGTCAAGAAATCAAAATTTATATCATATCACAGCTGAAATATGAATTTAAATATGCCATTGACAACGAACCAATTGATCGTGTGGATGTGATAAAGGACCTGGGAGTCATACTGGATATGTTAACATTAAGAAACTACTTTTCACATTCATACTGCCGATTATTGAATATAGTTCACAGGTTTGGAGCCCAAAGCTGAAAAGATTGCTCGAATTGAGTTCAGAAGCAATTTTTACTATTTGCACTGCCTAAAATGAAATGGTCGCATGGATTCAAGTTGCCACCATACGAATGTCGATTACTGGAATTACAAATGATCATGCGAACGAAGAAAAATTGCTAAAATTTTAATGGTACATAATGTAACATGCGGACATAAATCATCAACGATAACACATTATGAACAGAATAAATAATAGAACACCATGGCAATGATCGAGAGACACGAAATTTCTATCTCTGCCAGTATGATACCACTCCAGATTCGAACCAATCAATCATATACTGGCTACATACAATGATTTTTATAAAAAATTTGTTGCAATTAAGCCACCATTTAGTTCATAAAGAAAATAAGAATCATCATTACATTGTGTGATACTTATTTAATTGATTTTAACACAAGTTGAAATACTGTTAAACAGAGAATTAATGAATATTTTAAAAGAAATAGATTGTTGTGAGAGTAGAAAATTAAATGATAAAGCAATGTAAATATTATAAATATATTAATATATATTTATACCAAATAAACCAATAATAAAATTCGCACATTTATTCCACTTCCTATCATTCAAAGCATGTTACCGAAAAATTTTCAATATATTCATTTTCATGGATCAACACATAATGGCTAAAAATACATGCATTAACATTGGGAGATCGAATGAATGTCAAATGCGGTGCTTTTGGTGTTGATATTTTCATTCTTCAAGTTCAATGAAAACCCCACACTGTTGCAATAAAACAAGAGAGGCAATTTTATTCATTAATCTTACATGTGTAAAATTGTAAATTTCTTCGAATTTTCACCGTTTTTGATTTCTTGTTGCTGCCAGCAGTAATAGCTATTACATGGGTATGCACCAGCGCTCATCTCTCTCTCTCTCTCTCTCTTAGTGTGTAGTACTGTAGATATGTTTATCTCTTTCTTTAACACTAAATATTTTTACTTTCTTCGTTCGTTTTGAAATTGAAAAAAGGTTTTTTTTCTTGCGCGAAGACGATGTTTTTGATAATGGGAAATAATGCTCATTTTTTCTGCAAGGAAACAAACACAAGCAGCTGCTCGTTTTCTCACGCAAGCACTTAACATTTGCTGCAAACTCGAGAAAATCATCTATAAATAGAAGCCACTTGGCTGATTTGGAAATAGTTTAAAACCCGACGTCGTTGAAAAAAGTCAATTTTCATGTGCCCTATACGAAGATATAGTGCATAAGATTAACTATGAATTGGCTGGTAAGATTATGTTCAAGTTCAGTGGGAAATGTGATTCAGTTCTAATATGAGAAATGCATGCAATACAATTCATTTATAATGGTGGTGATGTTTGATTTGAAGTGCTAATTCATCTATATGTGATTATCGATAAAGCCATGTGAATGATATTTTGCTGTTGGTTGATGGTTCACTTTATTTGGAAATATCACATACATTGAGTTGACTGAAGTTTAGTGAGGAGAAAAAAAATGTCAAAAGATTTGAAAATAAAGTTGCAAGCGAAATTGTTGATTTATTTGTGTATACAAATAAAAATAAGGTTTACGATGATTTGCTGGAAAACTGAATCAAACTCTTAGCAAGAGCATCAAATATTCATTGATGTAGTTATTCAAACTGAAGTTCAAGCATCATATCTCTTTTAAAATCGAAAACTTGTTCATCTAACGTAAACAATACTAAAATAATCGCTACGCCAGCGCAAGTGTTCGCATGCAACATCTCAGCCAATTATTATATAATTAAGTTAACTTTTTCTTTTGATTTAATGATGTTTTTACTTTTTATGCATTGTTTCAATCGGTTTTTTATGCTCAACACGTTTTGTTTTCGCTTGTTCTTCTATTCAGACGAAATTGTGTGTACTTTTATTGGTGTTAATGACCCATGCAATCGAGGACTTGCCAACGAATCCAGATGTGTCCCAAACATTCCCAATTCCCATCGAAACTGCCGATAATGGATTATCTGATGGTGAACAGTGGGGAAATGAAAGTCCAGGACCTCTGTCTTCAGAGAAAACGGAAGAAAAACTCATAACAATGATCAAAAAGGTGGAATAGATTTTATTCCTTGTGTACCAAAAAAATGCCAATTTTTTTTATGTTATATGAAAATGTTTCATTTCATTTTCTCTTCTTTCGTAACCATTTTTATTGGTCCCGGAACTGGAATCTGGAATAGGTCCCTGTGCCGATCGCCATCACCAAACATGTACCGTACAAAATAGAGAAAATTGTGCCCATTCCAGGTGAGACTATATAGATAGAGTTCATGTACAAGTGACTGACTCATTATATATACTCAATCAATTGAATTGGAAATTGTTTCAATTGTAAATTACAAAAAAACTGAATCTCGCGATTGATTCTGAAAATGAATTTATAATATCGTTTTTAGTTCGTGTTGGAATTATTACCCCCGTTCCTGTAGAACGAAAAATACCGGTTCCAATAAAACAAGTAAGACATTTTCTCGATTATTCTCGATGAACAAGATTTACCATTTCAAATCGCAGAACAATTTGCCGAAAAAAAATGAACCAAAACACTCGTCATAACAAAAGTCAAAAATCGACATTCAACACATGTCTATTACTAGATTTTTCCACATCTAACACCTGTGCAGAATTTTAAATAAAATTGAACATAAAACGAAATAAGATAAATTGTGATTTAATTTAAATTTTTAGCTTTAAAGAAGTTCTAAGTTTTGTTAACCTCGTCTTGAAAATCAAACAAAAATAATTCTTTGTATTGTATTTTAGATTATCAAGGTGCCGATTCACATTCCGCAGCCGTATCCCATCGAGAAAAAAGTGAGTTTGTTGTAAATAAGCACACCCGAATTAATGCCGTACAAATTTCCAGTCCTGCTTGAAACATTAGCATTTTTCTTGAAATCATAAAAAATGTAGGAATTCTATGATATAGCTTGTCAATGATGAACTGAAAAATTTACAGTTTGATCAATATTTCAGTAGAACGAACCATATCTTAAGACTAGCTTCCTCGCCTCGCTTCGCTCGGCTTGGGCGCTAGTTCGGTTTCTCTTCCGTTCAGTTAGTTTTTTTTCAATCAAGAAAGATGAATAAGCATTTCAGTGAGATGACGATATAATTTGACGTAAAAAGCAAAATTCAGTTATGAATGTTAGTCTGTCATTTCGTATGTTCCATACTTGTTTTTTCAAAGCAAAGACGATTTTCTGGGAAAGTTGCTCCTTTTTCTGGAGTTGATTTTACACGCATTTTTTTCATATGTGAATTGGTGTTAAGTCGTGTTAAGATGACCATGATGGACCGAGATGGTGTCCATGTTCATTCCCGTTCCAAAACCTTCCATATGACACCCATATTGACTATTCATGGTGTTAAGTCGTGTTAAGATGACCATGATGGACCGAGATGGTGTCCATGTTCATTCCCGTTCCAAAACCTTCCATATGACACCCATATTGACTATTCATGGTGTTAAGTCGTGTTAACATGACCATGATGGACCGAGATGGTGTCCATGTTCAACTCTGTTCCAAAACCAATATTTCATTGCCATCAATCCACATTAATGTACGTTGTATCGAAAAACAATTAAAAAAATTGTTTCTTCAATTTTTTGAAAATTTAATTCGAAAATCAAAACTGATATGTGAATCTGCTATTTAAGCCGCGAGAATTCTAACGACATATTCACCATTAAAACCAGGAATTAAAAAATCATGAAAATAAAAAAAAATAGGACAAACGCACACATACACACACAATGAGTTTTATATATATAGATCAGAGCGTGGTATGAGCTTTGGAGTGTATTGTATTCCAATACGTCAGTCAGTGCTGCTGACATCAGTTAATAACACGCTCTGTTAATATGTACGTTCTCTTAAAAAAATCACCCAAAGACATCAAACTTTGGATTCGTTAGCAATTTAACGAAATGTGTTCTGATATCAAACTAGGTACCCTACTTTATTCGAGTTCCCGAAATCCAGCCTATACCAATCATCATGAAAGAGTTTCACCCATATCCGATCGAAAGAAAAGTGAGTAATAATTCTCTGGTCTAATGATCTTTTGTAAAAAAATCAATGATGTTTTCCACATTCGCATTTACTTTCAATTATCATTCAATGTTTCTAATGCAATGATTGCATGACGCTTGTTCCATCGTTTCTGACACTGGTTCAACATAATGGCGTTAGATTCCAGGTAACACATGATACTTCGATTCATTTGTTCCGGCCTCTTCTTAAAGATATATTCTCTGTTTTTCCTTCATATTAGTCCCCATAAATATTCCATTTAATAAACCGTTCCCGGTAGAAATCAGAAAAGTAGAGCGTATACCAGTGCCAGTGCCTGTTCCACACCCGTATGATTGTTTTCATTTTCATAATAGAAAAAATATATTTCGACAAGTGTTTTAATCACTGTGATTAAACTGACATCAATTATGATGTGAAGAAGATATTGTGCATAAAACTTATAATTTTGTTTCGTTATTATCATTTTTTCATGAAACATCTTCACTGTCTTAATTAACTGCCTAACAAATGGAAAACTCCAAGAATCCCTGTTGAACGAGTTGTTAAATATCCGGTTAAAGGTGATTTAAAAAAATGTTGCAGATTTTTTTTCAGAGTGGGATATTATTTCAATACTATGGGATATTTTTATTCAGATGGGATAGAAATATCGCATAAAAATATCAGATATTTTTCTATTCCATCTGAATAAAAATATTTCATCGTATTCTCTGTTTTTTTCCAAATATTAATAGAATTAATATAATTTTGATTTGGTACTTGTTCGCGATATGTAGTGTACGTAGACAGGCCAGTTGGAATCCCCATTCCACAAGTAAGTAAAACTATATACGAGGGGTTTCATTCAAATGGTTTAAACTTATTTCCAAACCACTTTCAGCCTTATCCCGTTCAAACTGAAAAATTAGTCCCAGGCAAGTCAATACTTTTGGAAATGGATACGGTTGTATTGATCTCTTGAAGCTAAATAATCTGTTTATTTGTTTGAATTGATATATTCTTCTTTACAGTGAGAATTGAGAAGAAAGTACCATACGCTGTACCGATTGCTGGTAATATACAAATATTCCAATGTTTTATTGCTATTTATTTTTCTTCTTTTGAAAATTAAATTTTTCGTTGTTTTTGTTTTCAGTTGAGAGGCCCGTTCCATATGAAGGTAATACCAAATTTTGAGATTTCAATGATTTTACATTCAAACTGATGCATTTTATTTTTGGCAATGACAGTCCCAAAACCTGTTGGGGTTCCAGGTAAATACGCCTTAATTTCCTTTTCTCAAACTCGAAAATAGAAGACATTCGAAACACGCTCCTTAAATGCTTTATTTGAGTTGAATTTCTTCAGTCGTTTCATTCACAATCTCAATTATTCTGGACGTTTTGCATACGATAATTATAATTTTCCACTTTACTAATAATAATTTATACACCCATTATTCAAATTATTAGTGAATGTTCCCATCGCTGTGACATTTCCCGTTGAAAAATATGTGAGTACATTATTTTTTTTCAGAGAAATTAAATGATAGACGAGAAATAGAAGCAAAAAAGACACCATCCACATAAATTTTAAGTATTACACTAACATTTGAATATTTTGTTCTTAGATACATGTGCCAAATGTGAAAGAGGTACGTGGGATGTACTCTTTTTATGGAAAACAAATTTTTATGGTTTGATCGTTAAGGATGCTGAATGATTCACGTCAATTTTCGAGATTGATAAGCAATCCATTTATACTTTTACTTAGGTGCGATTTCCAGTGAAAACTGTGGTTGAGCAACCGAAACCAATCGAGTTAGAAAAAATTACGCCAGTCAATGTCGAAAAGCCATTAAAATACATTGAAAAAGTCAACGTTCCTGTTGATGGAAAAGGAAGTGAGAGTAATTTAAGCAATAATGTGAATGCTGAAGCAGCTAATGGATTACAAGACTTATCTGCTGGTTATGCATCAACAAAGAAAAGCAAAGCGTAAAAATGTCGCGCTTTCAATATGTTTATATGTATTTTTCAAGCTCTACCTCTAGGTTGCAGTTTTGTGTGTAGTTTCACTACATCGACAAAAATTCTTTCGAAAAATATTCTAATTCGTAATAGATGTTAAGCGTTTTATTGTTTTGTAAGACCATATAATTCATATATATGTGAATAAAAGAAATTATTTAGAGAAATGTTTGTGTTTATATTAACTTCGAACAAGCTCCATCGAAACTTTTGCATCAGGAAATATCTAAGATATTCTCATCAATATTACAGACCCGTGTATTTGCTGTCTGCCCAGCAAACTGTTGATCGCGGTGAAATACACGCGACATACTGTGACACAATGCACGTACACCCAAAAAAGCCAACGGAGAAATGTGTATGCTACCGTTGCTTCAATAGCATATGCATGTTCATGCTTTTTAGAGTTGGTGCGCGAGGCTTACAGTGTGTCCATTGTATAGCAACACAACCAACATCCGCTGCTGTTCAACACTATTGCAAGCTAGTATTAACAGCAGTGGCTGGACAGATAGCAAGTTCCTTGGTTGTAATATTGGGATGAAAATTCCGTTTTTGAGTTTAAAGATGCCTTCCCTGCTTCAAGTTCGGACTAAAATCAGTTTACTCGATCAGAATTATGCGAAATTATTAAATAAAAATAATGAAATGCTGAAAGTTCATACGCAAGAGTTATGTTATTTAATGATGTTGAATAATTCTAACCGATTCAGTTATGGTTCTACATAGTCGTTTGATCGTGAATCATCATTAAATCTTTGTTTTACATAAATATATGTATTCGTTATCTAACTATCTATTTGCCTTTGATAATAAAGCCTAAACCGTTTTGCTTCCAATCACAAAACTCAGCTATGTTAGATATTTTTGTTCGAAAAACTTCAGTCGTTTTTTGCAATCTTGGGTTTTTTTTCTCGAAAAAGCCTTATCAAAAAATGTAGCCGCAAATGTCTTAAACGTAAGTAGGTCCCATTCGAATTGAAATAACAATAATATATTATGTTTATTGTGATTAAACTCACCGAATGTATGGAATATTGGCCGGAATGTGGAACTTTGCCCCTGGATCAAAATCCATTTCCGATCGTAGAACTGGGGGCTTAATTCCGCCATACCGTTCTCTAAATCGTTAATGAAACCACAAAATAGGTAAATTACTTCATTTTATAGATATTTTCAAAACGACAAAACCAATTTACCTTAGCAGCCACCAGTGGCAATTATAATGATCTGCAACAACATTTTTATTGAACACATCCCATCTCCAAACATCCATTGCCAATGCAAATGGTAAAAATACGACCTGAACATTATGTTCTCATAAGAATTCGTTGTGAATACCGTGTAAGTAAAAAAATATTGAAATCTACCTTGTCCATGGCTAATGAAAAAAGGAAATTTATTTCATGTGCTGTATCATCAACTGGTCTCTGAATCAGACCTAACGTCTGTAAATGTTTTGGCGTTGAGACAGATAATGATATTGCGTCACCCAGCGCCTCATGAAAAGCTGAAAGAATTGAAATCAATATAAGTATAAATTTCTAATGGACTCATTCACCAGACCGATAAACAACAAAAATGAGTGAAATGGTCTAATCATTTTCTGAAAAAATGTGGCATACATGC